TCAGTCGCATTTTAGGAGTCTGTCAAGTGAAACAACATAACAAAATTGTAGTACGTTTTTTTAATGGATTCAGTTTTAGTGTGCAGACTTCAGCTAAATACGTTTGATATAAATCACACAAAAATACTCCCTCCAGGTTTGTTTTTATTTAGAGAGGAGATCTGGAAATCCCCCTCTCCCTCCCTGCTGGGTGTAGCATAGACCCTCCGTCGCCTCGACGCGGTGGACACATGGAGAAACACACACGTGATGCTCTGGTCAAAAAGCAATCTGAGGTTTGAGCGAAGCCACGCGGGAACAAGAAGACATCTGAGATGCTGTGATGTCAGGACCCAGGCTGTTCTCACCTAGACACAAACAAATCGATCTGTGGGTGTGTTGCTTTCAGCTCGCCTGCCTTAGCATGAATTGTGTTGGATTCATATTTATGGAAAGCTTGTTTTGCTCTGAACAGTTCAGACGACCAGGTGTTGAACGAACACCTGAGATGACAGTTGGAGGTTATTTTTGTGGTTCTGCTCAAGAACTTTTTTTTTTAAACCAAATTCTTGCAACGTGCCATTACTGTGTTGTCTTAACATTGGTGGGTGTGTGAGTCTGGGACTTTCCCAGAAGCGTTTTTTAATTTTAGTTTTATTCTATAAGGATTTATTAGTAACTTAAAGCTGTTCCAAAATAAACACTGAGCTCCACATCCAGGCTTTTACTAAATGTCTCAAGATTTGTTGTTATTTTCTGGAAATACAGGTGAAACTCGAAAAATTAGAATATGGTACAAAAGTTTGCAAAAGGATTCCTGGGCCTTTAGATGGTCTCTCAGTCTAAACGGAATTACCGAGATGAATGGACTTTTGCATCATATTTAAATTTTTCCTGTTTCACCTGTAAAGTCACAATCATCTCTATAATTTACTGGTTCACCTCCAACCTTAACACAACCAGATATTTTTTTATTTATTGCAGCATTTTTAGTTTTGCTTAATTGATTTTATAAAACTCATTCATGAACATCTAACGGATGTTGGATTTTACCATTTACTGTATAGAGCTCCGGGAGTTGACGTCACTTCTCCCGGCATGCAACAGTTCAAATCGAAACGGCGCCATCTTGGCAGGCAGAAGCCCGCAGCTGGACTATTTGTTATTGTCAGAAAACTCAATCAAACGGGAAATCTGGTAGATTCCTGTTGTGTCCCAGGATGCAGAACAGACGCGGACGACATAAGGAATGAGTCATCTACAGGATTCCCCAAGATCCGGAGCGCCGCAAACGTTGGATCATTGTAATAAAACGCGCTAGTGACCGGGCGAAAATGAAGCTGTGGGATCCCGAGAGTAAAGGTTTTCACTTATGCAGCGACCACTTCATATCAGGTACTTAAACCAACGTTTCCTCAACTGTGTATGGTATTTATTTTAAATGCTTTTATTATGATTCTTAGTGGGCTTCCTAAACTTATTTTGGCGTGGCTTTTTCTGTCTTATTACTCATAGCAACAAGTAAACATCACGTAAAACGTTGCCTCGTGAGTTCTGCGTGCTGCCGTTTACGTGTTTTATGATCACAGCAATTAACCGGCTAAGCTGTATTTAATTTTTAAGCAATGGTTGATCAATTGTCAGATCACACATAAAAAGCACTTTGGATTGCTATTATCTGTCTCACCAAGACTACTTACGTGTAAATCTGTTATTTGTCCATCCATCCATCCATTTTCATCCGCGTATCCGGAGTCGGGTTGCGGGGGCAGTAGCGTGACTTCCCTCTCCCCAGCCGCCGGAGCCAGCTCCTCTGGGTAAATCCCAAGGGGTTCCCCGGTCAGGTCCGGTGTTGTGCCGGTAAGAAGCCCGCTCCGACAGCTTCTGGCGTTTTTAAAAAGTATCCCAGGGACACGGTAAGGGTCGGAGATGTTTAGTCTATTTAATTTCTGACTATATAAAACTATTTCTTCTGTTTTAAAGTGTGAAGTAAACTCCGACGAAGTAAAATCCAAGCGGATCCCGTTCATGTTCATAGTTACATCCGTGTTTGTTTACCTTTTTTGCATGCCAAAATGGAGTCCACTAACTGAGAGTCACGTGGGGTCCGGAGCTCTATAGGAAACTGATTGTAAACATCTTAACCTAGTGGTCACTAGTGGTATTGCCGTTAAAAGTGATGAGAAAATTATGTGCAGCAGCAGAAATGCAAGTAAATGTGTTAATGCACGTACCGATGCACTAATGCACGTACCGATGCACTAATGCACGTACCGATGCACTAATGCACGTACCAATGCACTAATGCACGTACCGATGCACTAATGCACGTACCAATGCACTAATGCACGTACCGATGCACTAATACACGTACCGATGCACGTACCGATGCACTAATACATGTACCGATGCACTAATGCACGTACCAATGCACTAATACACGTACCAATTAGGCTTGGGCGGTATCCAAATTTGAATACCGTCTAACTTCCACTTAATTTTACCCCGGTATACTGTATTACCGTGAATACTTACAAAGTATGACATAAGCCTCACGTGGACCTTAACCTTTCTGAATCCGAATACCAAACAATTACTAAAAAAAAACAACGCAACTCACATACTATTAACAACATTTATTAACACAAAAAACGCAGCTTATAAACAAGTGCAAAGAGTCAACAGTCCAAGAGCAATAAATCAACATAAAAACCCAGGACAGCTGTTGTGCGCAAATCAAGTGAACAACTTATCAACGAGCAGCATGAAACAGTGCAAATAGGCCGTAACAGTCAACAAGAGTTGAATAACCATAAACACTGAAATTATAAAAATTATTGCAATCAAAACAACTGCATTAAAATTATAAAAAGAAAACTCCATCACACGGCCACACGCGCGCGCGCACACACACACACACACACAGGAGTGTGAACATTACGGCATGTTGCAGCAAATCAAGTTAAGATTTCTCGCCAGAAAAACCAGCATGTTTACTTTTTCTGGGTTCAAGTTTGCACGTTGTGGACCAACAACTTTACCTGCGGTGCTGAAAACCCGCTCCGATGGTGAGCTGGTGGCACAAATACATAGATACCTCCGGGGCAGTCATGACATCTGGGGAAAACGACTGGCAGCATATTTCCACTAGGGATGCACCGATGGATCGGCATTTGATCCCAATCGGCCGATAGCGCCCCTATCGGTTTTGATTGGAGTTTTCAAAATAGATCAAAGCAGACCGATCAGGTAGGGTTGTCACGGTAACCAGTGTAGTGGTAAACCCCGGTAAAAAAATAAAAGTTGACAATAATAATAACCGTCTTGTTTTTTTTTTAAAAACTATATTATCTCGGTGGATTACCGTGGCTGCGGTGTAGGCGCGGTGACCCTTACCAGCCACCGTATCATCTACTGAAGTTGCCGGCGGCACATGCGCACTTTGATGTTTACAACCAAAACTTTCTTGAAGCTAAAGCTGAAATAATGGCCAAAGGAGGAGACGGCAACACTCAGGAGGACATTTATTATCCCTCAAAGAAGACCAAGTGGGAAGTACGGGCATCTTTTGGATATTTGAAGAATGCCGAGGGACAGTTGATAGAAGACGGCTATCCTGTTTGCAGCACGTGCAGAAAAAGTGTCTGTGAAAGGCAGCAACGCTTCAAATCTCATGACACATCTGCGTGACCATCACCCACAACTCTACAGTCAACGCAAGGCAAGCTAACGTTAGCGTTTTAGCTAAAATGCGTGATCCGAGGATTTGGGTTGAGGGAGAATGCGACGAGTCGCTATATAAAGCAGCCGCAGCGCCGCTACCTGCATATAAACCGTGTCGCGGACACCCCCATGTTGAAATGACGCTATGCATTACGGGGCTCCCAGGGGCAGATAAGAGTCGGTCTCTCTCTGAGAATAATTATGAATTTAACAATGATTACTGCCTGATGACATTTTCCCACATCTGCAAAGCTCACTGGAAGGACACAAACCGAGGATGATATTTTCCTGATATAGGGATTATTACTCAAGTAAGGATAAAAAAGTATCTGATTAGAAGGCTACTTGAGTACTGAGTATCATCTGATCTAATATTTTTATAATGATGACCTCAAACAGACATAAAATAAGAAGTTATGGGCAAATATTGGTATAATATAGTTTGATTTTCTACGTGTATGTTCAGTTTTCCAGGGACTCTGAAACCGATTAATAGGGTAGACCGATATTTCGGGCCGATATTTGTTCCTAGTAAAGCCGATTTAAAAGTCAGGCACATCCTCGGGCAGCCCGATGCTGTTGCAGGATATAATTTAAATCTGTTTTTATGTTCACTAATAATATCTGCATAATAAATATTCTAAAATAACTTTATTTAGGTGTCTGACTTTAACACTGAGCAGTGCACAAAGTTAAGATTTCGGTCGACCTTTCCTCCTCATCGTGTATTCATGTTTATCTCTTCTTTTCAATAAAATTCTTTCCTTGAAGCACATTGTTTTTTTACTTTATTTATAAAAAGTAAATAAATGCGCGTTTCTCTGCCCTCCACTGCTTTTGCCCCTACCGTAACCCGTAACGATGAAGATGCTGTACTTCATGGATCTGAGCAGTTATAAACATGATGGCTGATGTCGAGTTCCTCCAAGGCAAAATAAGATTTCACCACTGTAATAAAGTTTTGTTTGATCATTTGACATCCACACACTTCCACAGGCTCACACACACACACACACACACACACACACACACACATGGCTCTCCACATGAATAGTGAAGATGCACCACAGGTACTCTGTCAGTAATAAAGCTGCTGACGTGTCTTTGATCACTGCCGGAGTGCTTTTGTTGGAGGAGTCGTGCATCTTTGAGCTGACTGTTGTTAGAGTTTGGTTTATTATGTCAGAATTGGTCAGTTTAGATTCTGACTTTGTTGAATGTTATGCATTTATTGTTGTCGGGGTTAAAGGTGCCTCTGTTTCTTTAAGCTGAAATGTTTGTGTGTTCTGTTCCGACAGAAGGTCTGAGGAGGAGGTGGATATGGACAAAGTGACGGCTGCCATGGTTCTGACGAGCCTGTCCACGAGCCCGCTGGTCCGGAGTCCACCAGTCAAAGTTAGCGGTGAGTTGGACCACAGCGCAGTCCTGCAGCTCAGTCACAAATCAAACACAATGAAATGATCATTCCTGTACTCTGACATTTCTTTCCTCTTGCCGTTATCTCGTGAGTGCACGTGGAAGCTCGGGTCGGCAGGTTACCGCTAGCTGCTGTGCCTCATGATTGCTTCATCAATAAGTTGTTACAAATCCACCAAGGAGCACAAAGAGTTTGGATCTCTGCCGCTCAAAATGGTGGCAGGAATCAAAAGTCGTCTCCATGGCTAACCGAGCGTGCAGAAACGCTCCTATTGGGTCCGACGCGCAACAAACTCCTGCACTAATTTGATAAAAACCATCTCCACTGTTTAGAAAGCTTAATAAATCCTTTTATCAACCAGAGAAACCAAACGTGAAGAGCTTCATATTTTATTTCTGGTGAGTCACTGAAGTCTTTTATGTAAAAAGCTGCAGCAGTAATGAAAGGAGGGCCCCCCACCAAGACGCTGTTTACTTTGTAAAACTGGGTCTCGCTCGCTCCGGCGGTTATTCACACACACGCCAAAGTTTCACAGCCTTTTCTTTACAAAGCCAACTCCTTTTGGAGTTGATATTTAAATGAAATGTTCCTTTGATCTATAAAAACCAGACCTTGTTGGTGTCTCAGAGGGATCACAGAACAGGAAAGTAACTTTCAGTTTCCATCGCTTCAAACCTCCTTATATTCTCATGTTTGTGGTCTTCTCAGAAGGTCTGAGTGGTTCGTGGAAGGAGAACGGCTCAGCTGGACCCTTCACCCCATCGAGCAACAGCTCCTCGGGAGGCTACTGGAGCTGGTCCGCTCCCAGCGACCAATCCAACCCTTCCACGCCTTCTCCACCACTCTCCGCCGACAGCTTCAAGCCATTCCGCGTACCAAGCCAAGGCGGCGTGGGGCCCGGCCCGGCGGGAGTCGAGGACCCGAGTCTGGATGAGCAGGACGGCAGCAGCCTCCTCTTCGATGAGCCAATCCCTCGCAAGCGCAAGGTAAATCTCAAATGTTAGCTAACCAAATTAGCTTAATGTGTCCTAGAGACGGAAATGAGACAGAACAGAGTCGGTATTGGTGATGGCAGAAGAAGAGAGAAGATGACGTCATTTCACTTTTCTCTTTGATCTCTACACATCACCGACAGCTCACGGTCTTGTTGAGTTTCAGACGTGTTCTCTCCTCCCTCCATCCCTCCTTTATGTCCCTTTCTCTTCATTCACGTCCTCCCCACACATTTATAATTACTAATCAGTCCTGGAAGGACTTTAATCAACCACAACCCTCCTGGGTTAGCTTCTACTGATGTTTATCAATAACAAAGTCGTGGTGGGAGGTGGAGAAACTTCAATAAGTTCACAGATTCTAGAAAAAGGAAGAACCTTCATTCCAGAGAGCTTTAATAACGATGTTGGTAACAGTTGTGAGGTTTGTGTCTGCGAGTCTCCTCGGGTGTTCTAGTTCTTCTCTTTGCAACACAATACCATCAGAAGATGGTGGCGGGGCATTTAATTAACTGTGAAGTGTTTGTATCGCTGCAAGTTTCTGATATAAAACAGAAAGAAAAACATCATCTTGTCAGAATTAAATCAGCCTCCTGAACAAACGTTTGACGGACAGGCCTGCAAGTCCGTTTGTGGTGAATCAGAGTGGAGGGCAGAGAGGCTTTCACAGCCTTTCTCCACAGGAGAGCGCTAATACGGTGTGTCTGGGACGACGGATGTCATTACTGTAGACCAGAGCTTCCCTAAGGGTGCGCGAGCTGCCGCTAGGGGGTGCGTGAGGTGAAAAGTGTAATGGCTGCGGAGCTCAGAGAAGTCTGTCATATGTCACCACTGGCGTAGCCAGAAACTCATTTGTGGGTGGGCCAAAGAAAAAGTAAGTGGGCCCAATAAACGTCATTTAAAACAAGTTTATTTTGCGTGTGTGTGTGTCCGCCGCATGTGCCCTAGCTTCATAATAATAATGCGCTGAGCTTCAGCGCTCCGGCCTGCGCACGCTGTCAATAGCAAGGTATGTTCCAACGGTGTTGGAGGAATCTGAAGGTGGTGAGTCATTCTGGCAGATTGTAATTAACACCTGTCTCATGCAGGTGTTCTGACATTGTAAACCTCACACACAGAACATTGTGGATGTAACTAAATAAATCAAGAAATATTCCCATCTGAGCATTTTAGCATTATTATTTTATTATATTAGCACACTGACTGTGGGACAGCATTCTAAACGTGTCAGGCTATTAACAGCGCGCTGAAGATCTGAAGTTCAGGGTGCGTCTGTCAGAGGTCAGACGCGTTCCAGCGGAGCCACGGCTCATGGGTGCACATGTGAGCACATCTGGACGCGGTGACTGGAGCGGCTCATGGAGCTGTGCCGCGCACACACACACACACACAGATTCAATAAGCGCACGCTGCACAAACTCCGACGCTGCGCTGTGCCGTCAGACTGAAGGCAGAAATGAGAGCTGCCTCCTCCGTGATAAAAACTTTCAAGAGGTTTTATAACATTTTTCATTCAAGGTCAAATTAAGATATTAGCTTCTATTTTGGGATGACGTATGAAATTAGGGTCCGCTCCAGCCAGTGACTCCTCATGAACCTGACCACAACTCATGTTACTGCAGCATTTGTTATTCCAGTCCGCGTGGCAGCGGATCGCAGATTCAGCCACACCATAAAACAGCAATAAGTCGGTCTGAGGCAAAAGTGAACCTCATGGCTATAACTTTACCATATTTTCCCCTATTGACATTTGATTACGCACAAGTAGGTGACCAGCTCTGGTTTACGCAGAGCAGAAGGAAGGAGAGCGCTCTGGCCGCAGGTTAAACGTTCCTACTTTAAGAAAACCGTTAAATTGCATTGTTGATGTGCTACCTGGGCACTCTGAATATTTATCTAAAATGAAATCAAAGGAAATTGTAATGGTAATGAATGTTTATTAATTACTATTTAAAAAATGAAAGTGATGGGGAAAAGGCCGATCTTACAGAGGCGAGTCGGACGCTGTTTCATTCAACTGTCAATGTGCTTTCTCGTTAAGTGTTCATGCATAACCGAGATGCTGCCGTGATACACGAGGACTGCTTCGCAAATAATGCAGGTCATCTTTTTATTCGCCGAATCCAGGCTAGAATGCTCCCAAACTTTAGATGTTTTGGTACGCGTAGCTGCTGTGTTGGACGCCGCCATTTCTGTTAGTTGGCGCTCAGCAGAGAAGCTATTGCGCACGTGCGACTCTCAGCAGAGATTGTAATGAAGTGAGATGCCTCACTCGGTCGGAAAAAACACGTCTGGCGACAACATTGACAATGAAATTCATTGTTGACTATTTCTATTGCCGATATTTGTCAACAATGTCGACGAGTCGTTGCAGCCCTAATCTGCAGCATGCTAATTCAGAGAAACTACAATTGAATAAAAACGCTCTACATCATTTAAAAGCACACAAATTAGCGTCATTAAAATAATTTTATCACACATTCTAAATAAATCAAACATCTGAAGGAAACTGTTTTGAAAACTGTAAAGATGGCAGAACGAGGGCAAGACACACTGGCGATGTTTGATGCACTGTTAACGCCCCCTGCCACTAACTGTAATGCTGTTTAAATGTGAACTTTTGATATTATACATTTTATTTGCAAAGATGTAAATGATTCAACTAGAGTATGTAAATCAGCACAAACCATAATGAACAACCTAGAGCTCAAGCATCAGCCGATGCTTTCAATTGGCTTTTTTTCTTTATTTGTCATTAGTGAGTTTCTTTTCTTTTAGCTACATTTGCATTTACTTCGTTTTAAAATCAGTGTTCCTGTGTTGAAGTTCACAGAAGAACAACAGTTTGTTTTTCATGGCCGGCTGCTCCAGATTCCTCCAGTTATTTAGACGGCGGCTAGCGTGTTTTTTTTCCTGTTTTCTCCTGGAAGAAACAAAACTTGAAGTGAAACGTCTTTACACTACTGCATAATAAACCTGCCAGTTGCACACGAACGGGGCTAACCAGAACCACAGACGAGTCGTTGTTTTCGTTAGCTGGGCGAGTCCAACAATAAACGGCCAATGCTGTCGAATAATCACGGCGATGGTTTTAGATGGAAACCCAATAACCGTTTAGTAACGGCTGTGGTCCGAGCTCAGAGAGCCGACTGGTTCGGAACAAGAACACGACTAAACTCTGGTTTGTTCTGGCCCAGAACTCCATGAAGGTGATGTTCAAGTGCCTGTGGAAGAACTGTGGCAAAGTGCTGAGTACCACCGCTGGCATTCAGAGGCACATCCGCACCATCCACCTGGGGTAACACACACACTCACACACACACACACACGGGTATCCTTTCCTTCAGACGTGTTATTCTTACGTCTGCTCTGTTTTCAGACGGAACTGCGACTCGGACTGCAGCGACGGCGAGGAGGACTTCTACTACACAGAAATCAAGTTGAACACCGACTCCGTGGCCGACGGATTGAGCAGCCTGTCGCCCGTGTCGCCCTCCGTCCTCTCCCCCCCGCCTGCTCTCCCCTCCCTTGGCCAGCTGGCGGACTCTCACCGTCCCCCGCAGC